AATTATAACTCATTCCAGTGATCAAAATTTATTTTGGCAAGTCCAAAGATAACGATTTAGAACATATTTTATGTCGGTGCAATAGTCTGGCAAATGTGCGATTATTTGTACTAGATCTGAAAAGGTCGCAGTGGATCAGGGCTCGAATTCTGGAACTTTGACATAAAAACGTTACGCTTTTAAAGCGGTAAGCGAAAGTATTTGATTAGTGGAACGCCAAGCAGTCGATTTTGGTATTTTCGTTGCCGTGCGAATCGTTTTCTGGATACGCGTTGAGCACATATTGACAGCATCGTAAGTTCTCACGTTTCTAATAGTCAAATGTGGCATAAAACAATGAAAAATGTCAATGTTTATGTCATTATTCTTATTATACCAGGGGAAATGTTGAAGACGCTTCTCAGCATTTTCGATGTTTTGAACAATACTTATAGCTGCCAAGTCGTAAATTATCAATTACTTATTGAGGAATTTATAGAAGTAGTTTTCACTAAAGAGGAAGAGAACGCACAAAATCACATTTTTTTGGACTTTCACTGACAGTTTCGCAAGCAAAACGATCCTTTAAGGTAGCCGTTCTCGAATCGCTTAGTGCAAATCGGTAGTTAAGTGCACGCTAAGCGAAAGTTAACGTCATACACGCTGAACGTCTAAAAGCGCTTAGTGATTTCTGAGTTAGAGAATTCGGGCCCAGACCGATAGCCACCTCAATCAAATCTCATCTCTCATAGAAAAACTCCAGTATCAGATTTTCTGTTTCAAATTTTCACTTCAAATTTTCACTTCAACCTTGTTTGCAAAATATGATAGCAATATTATAGAGCTGATGTTAAGAAGGTGCTTGACGTTAAGAATGATGCTATAGAAGGGTCGTTTTTATCGTAGTTTAGAAATAAATCGAAGTAAACCAGAAACTTTGATAATTGATGAACAAGAAACGCCTGAAAACTTTCTATCAATCTGGGATATATTTTAGAACAAGACTCTGTAGTAAAGTCCCTAGATAAACAGAGTAACGCAATTGGTTTATCTCCTATTTTGAAGTCACAATGAAATCATGAAATTGTATTTTTTCAATAAAATGGGTTTAATAAACTCGTATATGAATTTTTTTTCTTTGGTTCTTATACAAGGTGATTCACGGCGACGTTTATGGAGAACCGGTGATACGATTTTTTTAAAAATCTGGATTTGTGCATAAAGGAACTGCTCTATCTGTCTAAATCATAGACTTAAAATAAAATATAGACTGAGCATCTCATTCATAAATAGCTGGAAGATGCGGTCAGACAATGTCTTGTTGTTGTGTTATTGTTTTAGGCTCTAACGAGTGCGACACGAGCGATAGATATGTTGTCTCCGTCGTAACGGTCGTTCCCTGACGACTCTGACGAGGAATGCAACACTGTCTTTCGTTTCTCAGTACACCTGAACTCTCCGTACCATAGCCGGGTAATTTTTTATTTTAATGAAGCTATAATTCAATTAAAAATATATCTAATTTAACTTTTTTATATTTTATTAAGATTTAGGAGAGGGTTTTTAAATAAAAGTTTAGAAAAAAAAAACGTCCAAAAGCGATAAAAATAATAAAATAGATGTTATAGAAAAAATGTAACAATCGAAATTATCTATTTAATTTTTGAAATTAATAAATTAATTATTAATTTTAGTCAAACATTTACAACCCTAATATTAATCAAAACAGGATCTATTCTATAGATATAATAGAATCGGCGATATGAAAGAGAAAAAACTTCATGATTGTTGTAATTTTTTTTTCTGGTAAGTGATGTCTTATTATGTAAATTAGAGACAACAGAGATCTGTTTCATTAAAGCAAGCTTTTAGGAAGTGGATAAAATGAAAACTACATTTATTTAACCCAGTACTGTCTATTACACCGCCTGCGTCTCAAAAGTAGCTCACCCCCATAATTTTTTTATTTTTTCTAATAAAAAAACAAGATTTGGTATGTTAGTATATGACATAAATTAGGATTGATTGACGCATTCAATTGTTTTTGGTCACTTCATGTTTCACCGGAAATGACTATAACTTCTGATTTTTAAATGGCTCCTTAGGTATATCTCTACTTTATTCGATAGAAAATGACACTCTGAATAGAATGACATATCATATGTCTACTCTTGACATTTTCGCATATGGTTTAATTGACATTGTAACACGCGGTTCATAACGACAATTTGACTCGAAATACCAAGTATCAATTCATAAAAAAATGCTTTTTCGAAATATGCTAATCAGTCACCCTTGTTCCATTTAAAAAAAATTGACATATGAATAAAAATACGATTTGTGCATCTTTTAACCGGCCTAGACAAGACACGAAAAATATTAGACAATCAAAACAATTTTTCCAATGCTCCTTGATTAAAACTTAGTGTTTTTAACACCGCCGTGGCACCCTGGATTGAAATTTATAATACGATCTGTTTTTAAGCGACAATGTCAAAAGTTGACATATGATATGTCATTCTATTCAGGGTGTCATTTTCTATCGAATAAAGTAGCAATATACCGAGGGTGCCATTTAAAAATCAAAGTTTTAGTAAAAGGAAACAGGAAACAGGAAATGACCAAAAACAATTGAATGCGTCAGTCAATCCTAATTTATGTCATATACTAACATACAAATCTGTTTTTTTATCTGAAAAAATAATAGAAAGTCATAGGGGTGACTTTTGAGCCGCACCCGGTATATTAAAAAATATTGTTTCATAATGTAATATCATTTTAAAATTCTTGTATGTTATTTTAGATTCTGAAGATAGCTTTAGGATAAACTGGAATATATTTTTAATAAAAACATGATTAATTTTTTAACCGATGCCTTGATATAATTTATCTTGTATAATAACAGGGTTATAATTATGGTTTTGTTACAAAAACTTTTATATAAATGATTATGTAATAGAAAAAAATCAGATTTTACATTTTACTAAAATATTATCTAAATAAGCGCCTTTCTACAACAACGCCACTGACTCCCAATTGGTAAATGGAGAGTTGCCTACCGGTCGAAAGTCGTTTCGAGACTCAAATGGATCATTTAAGTCAAATTTCTTGCAAATTTGGCACTGGCGAACCATATTTTATAGAATTTTCCTTGAATACAAAAAGTAAATAAAATAAACATTTAAGGACTACAAACTAAGAAAATGCAATAATTCAGCTAGAGAGAAGTAGCGGCAACAATGCTTTACTACACACGTGCGACGCGTACTATAAGATAATAGAAGAATGAATAGGCGACCTCGCCTCTAATCGGTGTTGCCATATTGTAAAATATTTATCCTTTTTACATAGTATTCGACTTATAATAAAATAGTATAAGGACTATTTAATACATCTATGGAATATTAAAACCTACTTTATTAAAATGCAGTATTAATATCTCAATATATGTGTATAATAAGTAAAAAAATATTGATTGAATATTAAAGACGTGACAACATAGGCTGGACGAGGAAGGTTTGGTCGGCTGCGATCGAGTGTACCCAGAAGTAAACATGTGTACAAAAATGATTGTTTGACCGCGTGTAGATGTAAATAGTGTAGTCTATATTTTAAGTCTATGGTCTAAATTATTTTCAGCATTACAGTGTTGCCGCTTCATAATAAAAGTGGTAGTATGTTTTTTAACACCCGGTATATTATTACGTTTTTCGAAACTACTTTCATATTTCAAAATTTTACTAATATACTACATATACCAATATTATGAGATTATGAAAGTAATTTCCAAAAATGTAATTATATACCGGGTGTTCCGTTAAAAAAAGAAAGATGCTACCACTTTTCAAATGATGCGGCAACATTGTAACGCTAAAAATATTTTAGTTAGATGGAGTAGGTGTCTTTATGTAGAAATCCGAATTTTCAAAAAATCTATCATCCGTTCTCCATAAACGTCTAACGTACCATCGCCGTGAAACACCCTATTTACAGGGTGCCCAGGCTGAGCGTGCATTAGAAGGTCTAGAGAACTACAATATCTAGATCGGAAATTTTTTGCACTACATTATTTCACAATGAGATTTATAGATTAAAAATATTTTCAATATGGCGGCACTTCCGAAAATACCGGAAGTCGACAGCAACTTTCTTATTTTAAACGAGTACCTCCATTTTTTACATATTTAAATTCTCTATCAAATTTAATGAATTTTTATATCAAACATTCTATACCTAACATTAACTGTTTTTGAGAAAAAAATATTTAAAATATTTGGAGCACAAAAACTGCCTGTCAAAAAAAATTGTATAGCCTAAACGTCAAATTTAGTGATCACCACAGCCACTATGATATAAAGAGAAGACATGTGAGTATCTATTCCAAAAATTAAATTGTTTGAGTGTCATATAATATCGGCGGTAGCTGTTATGGAATCGAGAGATTAATAAATTATCATAAATCATTTTTTTCAAATGGAAACATACTTTTTTTATTTCACTAGTGAAAATATTTTTTAATTTATACTTTCTTAAAAACAATTTATTTCAGATATAGGAACATGTATAATCAAAAAGTAGCGAATTGAAAAACCTTTTCACCAGTGAAATAAAAAAAGTTAGTTTCCATTTGAAAAAATTATTTATAATAATTTTTTAGTCTATTCCATGACAGCTAGGGGCAATATTATATGATATTCAAACAATTTAATTTTTGAAATAGAGAGCCACATGTCTTCTCTTTATATCACAGTGGCTGTGGTAATCACTAAATTTGACGTTTAGGCTATACAAATTTTTTTGATGCAGTTTTTTCCTCCAAAAACTTTAAATATTTTTTTTTTCTCAAAAGCGGTTAATGTTAGGTATAGACTGTTTGATATCAAAATTTATAAAACTTTTCAAAGAATTTAAGTATGTAATAAAAAATGTGGGTATTCATATAAAATAAAAAAGTTGCTGTCAACTTCCGGTATCTCCAGAAGTGCCGCCATACTGAAAATATTTTTAATCAATAGATCTCATTGCAAAACAATGATGTGCAAAAAATCTCCGATCTAGATATTACAGTTCTCTAGAAACTCCTAATGCACGCTCAGCCTGGGACACCTTGTATATGTATATAGGGTGATTCTATAACTATATTATGCTCTCAATTTCGAATTTCCCGCCTCTAAACTAAGGTAAAATGAATATAATTGCAGTACTCTATAATACCTAGGGACTTGAGACAAAATGTTGATTATCGTACTGTCTTCTCTGGCAGGTACTCATCTCAGTTATCTGACATTATCGGAGTAGACTTTGGAACGGACAACTTCCATTCGAAAGTCCAGCTACCACCGTCATACCTCGTCGTGGAAGTAGAGAAAGTGTGGCGTCAACAATCGCGAAAACTACCATATGCGATTCTCCGTTTGCGGGGCCCGCATAACGCCGACTCCGCCACCCAATCGCCTGTAGTTCATAGAACCGCACAGACGCCACTGATTCTGCTCCGTGTCGTAGAATTCGATCGTTTTCAAGTAAGCTGTACCGTCGAATCCGCCCACGGCGTACAATTGGCCGTTGACCACTGCCAAGCCAACCTGCAACAAATTGATTATGAAAAATGCGGAATTTGTACAAATAATGACAATAAAAAGCAAGTATTAGTGGATAAGACGGATTTTGCTGCAGTAACGTAACTTGTAGTGAATTTTATATAGGGACTAGCGTGTACCCGCAACTTCGTTCGCGTCGAATTAATAATATGTAATTGTGATGATAAAGCAAAGCAAGAATTTCCATTAACATACAAACTGGATAAAATTTTCTCACATTTATGTCAGCATGAGAAAAAACAATATGGCGATATTATTATATAACTTGGTAATATTTGAGGGGTAGTTTCATCTGGTTGGAATTTGACTTTCGAAAAATCCGTTTGCGAAAAATAAGCTTTTTACGTCAAGTAGTTTAAGCAGAATCGTGGTTAATCAATTACCCAACTTTTTGGAACAATCTATATGATTTTTTAAAAATTTCAAAATATGTAAAAAACAAAATAAATTATGCGTGTCCAAGCGTTTTCCCGAAGACTAACCGTTTTTTAAAAAACAAATATTGCGATATTTGAGGGGCGTTTTCACCCTCTTGGAATTTGAGATACGAAAAACCCCTCCTTATCGAACCTCTACACCCCACAGTCAATCCGTTTGCCAAAAATCAGCTTTAAACGTCAAGTAGTTTAAGCAGAATCGTGATTACTCAATGGTCATATTTTATGAAACACCCTGTATAAATTTTTAAAAAATCTTAAAATATGTAAAACAACAAAATAAAATATACGTGTTTAAGAGTTTTTCCAAAAAACTCACCGGTTTTTAAATAAAAAATATTCTAATATTTGAGGGGTGGTTTCACCCCCTTAGAATTCGAGTTTCGAAAAATCCCTTCTTATCGAACCTCTACACCCTAAAGTCAATCCGTTTTCCAAAAAAAAAACCCTTTTTACGTCAAACGCTTTAAGTAGGATCGTGATTAATCAATGACCACATTTTTCGAAACAACCTGTATACATTTTTAAAAAATCTTAAAATATGTTAAAAAACAAAATAAAGTATACGTGTTTAAGCGTTTTTTCGGAAACTTGGCCGATTTTGAAATAAAAAATATTGTAATATTTGAGGGGTGGTTTCACCCCCTTGGAACTGGAATTTCGAAAAATCCCTTCTTATCGAACACACCCTAGAATCAACCTGTATGCCAAAATTGAGCTTCTGACGTTGAGTGGTTTGAGCAGTGATTAATCAGTGAGTCAGTCACTTAAGGATTTTATATATTAGTATAGGCTTGGTACATTTCAGTTAATTTCTTTGAATAAGAAGACTAAGGAAGGAGCATATCAAAAATCTTAGGTACACCGCGATGGGCCTCAATTATGGCCGACTTAAATTCCGGTTTATCAGTGTCGTTCTAATTTTATTTAAAAAATATAAAACTATGATGTAGGGTAGACGTGGGGTAGACTCAATAATTTTTTGTTTTATTTTACGTTGTGAATAAATGTTGGTAGTTACTAAAATTGTTATAAAAATATATAATTCTAATAAAAATAGATAAGTTATAATAAGTATTTATTAACACAAACATCCGATACGCTACTGAAGCAGGTAAGTCAAATTAACGTATCTAAATTCTTTGACATCTAATCTTTGACAAGTAATAAATAAAAGCTAAAATGCAAGAAAAATATATAATTTAGTTAATTTAAGTGAATTTCATTAATGATCGGTTTACTACACGTATGTATATTATATAGTCACTAACTAGCGAAAAGTTGTTCCATTATTTCACTCAATTTTTGCCGAGATCTACCGCACGCTACACAACCAACTATTTTAGAGTCTTTTTCGATAAATCGCGATAGTGTCACTGTTAATTTAAGTTCCGCCACAATTTCCATCTAGATTTACTACCTTTACACAACTATCAGTAGTAGAATAAATAATAAATAACATAAAATAAGCTCCGTAAAGACTGACAAATCCACAAAATTTCAAATCAAATTCAAATGTGTCAAATGAATCGTCAAACAGAACTGTCAAGGATCCCCACCCTAGGGAGCTTTTATGGTGGCTTTTCCGCCCACCATGCATAAATACATGGATAGCATTATGCTCCTTCCTTAGTCTTCTTATTCAAAGGTTAATTTCAACAAATTCCGACCGCAGCGCACTCTACGGCTGAAATCAGAAGTAATCAACAATATAGTTTATGTTGCCGTCATGTCCATCGCATTAAAATAATATTGAAATCGAGGTTTTGTCATAATATTTCAGTATTTTAGTTTTTTGCTAGTACCATTCAGGGGGGTGACAGTAAACCGGAAAATTGGAAACAGTTGTGGCGCGGTTCTACCCAGGCAGAAAGCATGGCCTTCTAGACTGTCCTAGACAAAAATCTGAATATTTCTGTATGATTTCTGTCAATTTCTGCTACGGAACATTTTTATGCACGTCGGCGTCCTGTTCTTTTGTCTTTTGTCTGTGTGTCAGCGTCAGCTCCCGAGGCCTCTGGCAAGGTCGGGCGCCATTTTAATTTTTGCCGTTTAGATTTGATTGGAAGGTTGTTTCTGATATTTCGGCTGAAATTTATAAGTACAAAGATGTTTTTTGGTATAAAGTTCCTTGTTAACACTCTAATAAAGTATATATGATATTAATTACATGAAGAAAATGATGAAATCGACGTTTCTGCGTGTAATAGGTATGGGCCATATTATATGTAAAAATAGATAATATGTTAACTGTTTTTATATTTTTTTAGCTTTAAACCCAAGGATTTTGGGATATTCTTTGCCAAGGATTTTTCCGTATCTCTCCTTTAAAGACTGATCGGTGATTTGAAAGCAATTGAAAGCAAGTTATACAAGGTAAATTATGATTATTGAACTATTATTAGCCTATATTAATTTTCTACAAGATGAACAGAAATGCGTGATTACATATCACATAGGTACCTATTATGTATTTTCATAGCAATAATGCTATAAATCTATGTATGTAGATTATTTTTAAAATACAAATGAGGTATTAGATGTATATGTATTATATTTTTTATTCATTTTATTTTCATTCAAGTCCTGTTTGATTTAATTCACAAAAGTCTTATGTACCTATATTTATATTTTTTACATATTTTTTTGATTCCAGGTTTTGTGTGGGTTCCGGATGCCTTTTTCCTGCTTCCAGTTATTTAGTTTTATGCCCGTGAAGCTGTGAAAACATTTATTTATCTTCAAGTTTCTGTAAGTCAATGCACTGTTACTTTACTAATTCAGTTTAACACAGCATCTCTGATATTATTTAAATATTTGATATTGATACAGTAGTTTATTGGTTTATAGCTCTTTAATTGTGTTGATTTGCATATTTACATTGTTCTAAATTCCAAATAAATATTTTTGAGTAATTTTGTTGTATTATTTACTACTAGAAAGAGTAAAAAGTATATTAACCCTCATTTAAACCTCCTGAACAGCCCGCCATTAAAAACCGGAAACGGAAATAAATTTCATAAAACTGAAATTGTCATGTCTATGTCATGTCAAATGTCCCAGACGCCATATCTGAAAATTAGTTACCCAGGCAGCCACGCTGTTTCCATAATTTAACATTGACTTGACACTTCTTCTTGTATTTATTATTTTATGCTGCCATTATTGATACTATAAAACACCCAGGTACGAGGTTTGTGCGATGTAACGCTGTTTCGGGTAGTAAAAAATAAGTGAAAAAGAATTCAAACTAGGCGTCTTGTTATGTTGTGACAATTTTAAAAGTTAATAAATTGCCTAAAAATGTTAATGCGCAAAGGAGAGCGTAATTAGGGCATTGTTGGGTGCATTAACATTCAATAACTCAACTTTCCCGGATATTCAACTCTCCCGAAACATTTTATAGTTTCATAATTTCTTACACCGATTTGATCAATAGCAAAAACGGATTCAAGCAGTTCGACGAAACAAGTGAGTAAACAAAGTGTTCGTTACATAATCAAAAAATTAAATAGACATATGTATACTATGAGAGTATGAAATATAATTTGCAATATTAATGATATACTTTTTTAATCAACTAGTGATAAATGTTTTATCAACATCTTCTGAAATTATAATTATGTACCTTTAAAAAATTTCGTTGTAGACGAAATAGCTCCAATTATGTTCCACTAGCAAAACCGGTGATAAACTAACTACCGTAGTAGAACTCATCTAAAAAATTTTTTAATTGGAATAATAAATTATAATGCAAGTTAGACCTTCGGAAGATGTCAAGATATTTACCTTTTTATGTTTTTGATTAGAATTTCCACAAATTACACTTTCTAACACTTTTAGAATAATTATATACTAATTTTTTCGTTTACTCGCCATTTAAACCCGTGTATTTGTATGTGTTCGTTATTTACGAGTTCTCCGGTGGTGGTAGCACCGGCGGAGATTGCGCCAAGCCTATAGATAAAAATGTGGCTACTAAACAAACAAACATAGAGACATTAGGGCTTTGCGCGGGAAGCGGGACTTATGATCAAAATCGGGACGGGTGGCAACCCTGGAAACTACCGTGAATTACTTACCCCACTTCTCCTCGAGGTCATAGCCACTATTGGACTCCACGTATTTGTATGTGGATTGTATCTTTCGGCGCTACTCAGTTCCATACAATCATCTCTACCGCCAACAGCATAAATTAAATTGTTAAATACAGCACAGCCTAAATGTTTCCGTCTGGTAGACATAGGACTAACTAGCGTCCATTTGTTGTGACGCGGATCGTACCTGTAAAACATTACTTCAATTATCAAAACAATAATAGGGAGCAAAATATATTTATTAAGCACTAAAATGTGGTATAGTCTGTGAAACGAATAATTTGAATTTGACAGTTCCCGCGGACTTTTTTAGTGTTAATTTTATTAGGTTAGCAACTTGCGGCCATGCTGGCGTAATGCCGTCTCTAATAGAACAGCCTCGGAGTGAGATTTATGACTAGTTAGATACTACGGATTAATAAATATGTTGTAGAATACATGGAAAACATAATTATTCCTTGTATTTTTGGTTTGTATTTTAAAAATGATATAGTTTACATGAAATATACATAATATACAGTTAATAAATACAATATAATGTATTGTATTCTAAAACATTTTCTGAAATCGTACTCCATAGTCAATGTAAATAGTTTTAGTGTTAAAAATAATAATTTTAAAAAATATGTGGTCATCTTTTGACAAGTTTATATTAGTTTATTAATTGCACTAAAACATTATGTGGTGTGTGGTTTGAATATTTTATATGTAATTTTTTGGATTATATTTGACACTATTTTTTTCATATGACACAACACTGATGAATGCTATAATGTTAGCCGAAACGTTTTTTTTTAAATCAAAAGAAAAAATAATGAAGAACTAAATGAAAACTTAATCAGCGTTTTTTCCGTACCTAAATCCCAAGAAAATCAAAAATTTTAGAATAATTTTACATATAAAATGACATCGATCTTTATTTCATAGTCATCGCTGACACCTTTTTTTCTATGTTATTGTATTATTTGCAAATACAATTTTTCGAACATTGATACTTGCAAAATATAGATATAAATTTTGTGAATGCAAATAATAATACATCACTATTAGTAGATATTGAATGTTTTTTGTTAAATTAGATCGATTTTCAAACCCCAAAATTTAAAATATATTTTACATTTTATCCATTATCTTATGTGCCTATTCATTATTTGTATGTTGTAAAACATTTGCTGCATTTGTATGGTTCATAGTTTATTTGCCAAAGTATTTATTACTATAAATAGGTATATATATTGTATTTATTAACTGAATATTATATATATTTCATGTAAACTTTATCATTTTTAAAATACAAACCAAAAATACGAGGAATAATTATGTTGTCCATGTATTCTACAACATATTTATTAATCCGTAGTATCTAGCTAGCGTGATGTCATAAATCTCGCTCCAAGGCTGTTCTATTAGAGACGGCATTGGTCTGATATTTAGAAATGTCAAAAGCTGATGACATTTTACTTTTGACAATTATGACATTTCGTGTTGATTTTTGCAAGAAGATGAAGAACTGTCACTTGTTTTATTATTGTCCTTTTCTATTTCACGAAAGTAAAAAGAGTTACCTATTTGATTCGTTCAGGCACTCAATTTAAAGAATATCAGTAACTTTTTTGATAGAGGGACTTTATATATTTGCCATGTTGGTAAAAAATAACGGTCAAAATTCAAAGTTATTCATTTTATAGACTATATAGAATGTTCAGCAATCGTGCATGTCATATATTGTCACGTTATATATTTTGTCAAACTCTCTCAATCACTTGTTAACCAGATGAAAGAGATTGGTGACGTCATTACGGTATTTCGTAAATTAGTGCATATTCTTTTTAGTAATTGTCATTGTCATCTGATTGACAGCTTTGACAGGTAAAGTGTCATAATAAGAGTTTATGCGGTTCTAATGTTACCGCATGCCACTATTTACGCAGAGAAAACGCCATGCAGCTTTTTACATTTCAAAAACGTTATGTTATCGATTGACATACTGTATTTCTACAAAAATATAAATGTTAATTAATATATAAAATATATTTTTTTCTTAAATATGACAATCAGATGTGGTATATAACTTAAATTTATTATTTAATATATTTTGTTCTTATAGGAAAATTATGAATACAGTTGTGTTCTTCTGCTTCACTTATTTTAAATTTAAATAATACTGGAGGTAACCTAAAATTACTACTTCAAGGGCTTGCCTGCTCTTTTGTATATAGGTAAAATTAGTTTAAAGCTATTAAATTACGAAAACCAGCAAAGCAGAAAAAATAAAAATAAAAAGTTAGGTTAAGATCTGTTTTTTTCAATGCTATTTTGTGGTGTCCTAACTCTAAACTCAACAAGTCCAGGGTGAGTCTTAAATAAGTGCAAATATTTTCAGGGCTGGTAGATCTCGATAAAAAAAACCTTTACCGTTTTTCAAATAAGTCCAAAATAACAGAGATATTTTACTTTGAAAATTAAAAAAAAAATGATTTTTTGCTTAAATTTAGCGAACCGCTAGATCTTTTCTGTTTTTTTTTGTAAATTTAATCTACTTTCTATGTTACTATATTCCTTTGAATAAGAAGACTAAGGAAGGAGCATAATGCTATCCATGTATTCATGCATGGTGGGCGGAAAAAGCGCCATAAAAGCACTCTAGGGTGGGGATCCTTGACAGTTCTGTTTGACGATTCATTTGACACATTTGAATTTGATTTGAAATTTTGTGGATTTGTCAGTCTTTACGGAGCTTATTTTATGATATTTATTATTTATTCTACTACTGATAGTTGTATAAAGGTAGTAAATCTAGATGGAAATTGTGACAGAACTTAAATTAACAGTGACACTATCGCGATTTATCGAAAAAGTCTCTAAAATAGTTGGTTGTGTAGCGAGCGGTAGATCTCGGCAAAAATTGAGTAAAATAATGGAACAACTTTTCGCTAGTAAGTGACTATATAATATACATACGTGTAGTAAACCGATCATTTATGAAATTCACTTAAATTAACTAAATTATATATTTTTCTTGCATTTTAGCTTTTATTTATTACTTGTCAAAGATTAGATGTCAAAGAATTTAGATACGTTAATTTGACTTACCTGCTTCAGTAGCGTATCGGATGTTTGTGGTAATAAATACTTATTATAACTTATCTATTTTTAATAGAATTATATATTTTTATAACAATTTTAATAACTACCAACATTTATTCACAACGTAAAATAAAACAACAAATTATTGAGTCTACCCCACGTCTACCCTACATCATAGTTTTACATTTTTTAAATAAAATTATGATAACCGGACACTGATAAACCGGAATTTAAGTCGGCCATATTTGAGGCCCATCGCGGTGTACCTAAGATTTTTGATATGCTCCTTCCTTAGTATTCTTATTCTTATTCAAATATAAAAAAAAAAAAAATATCTTATTCAAAGCTATATTCATTTTTAATTACTAATATAATTATGGATTTTAAAAAAATAAAAAAAAAAGTTGGCGAAAAAACCTCATAGACATGTTTCTGGGGTCGAAATATACTACCTCTAAAAATATTTGCACTTATTTAAGACTCACTCTGTATAACTCAAAACTCGTAAATATCAAAATAAGTTCAGTGCAGTGGCAAAATACCCATAAAGGATTTTTTTGGAGAGATAAAAATAAGATCTGAACTAATAGCGGAATTGTGGCGATATTGAACTTTGCCATATGTAATACAGGGTGTCCGGAAATTAATGCAACAAAATTTGGTCATAGATTCATGAAAAAAAAATAGGTGACCCGTATTTTTTATTTCTGGCGAGTGGTCCCCCTTTTCGGATTTACGGCCCCCTGAATTTTGCCCCTAAAAGGAGCTTTTTTTTAATATCTCGGGGCCCTGTTGGACGAAAATCACTAAATTTGGTACACGTTGTTTTACCATAAAATGACATTTTTTGATGCTATTAACTTTTTTTTATTTTCATCAGTGGCGTCCCTACGGCATTTAAACTAAATATTATTGAAGAAAAAAATGGTACGCCACTGTTTTTTTTTAATAAAAAATATTTTTAAAATCTACATTAAATTTGGAACAAATTTCATCTCTTGACTTTTTTTGGTACGACGCACCGTTTTCGCGTAAAAAAATAAAAACCATTTTCAAGCATGAATAAATCGCTAAAATTTTACCGTAAATTTCAATGGCAAAATTTTTAAAACGGCATAATTAAGTTTAAAATAATTTTTTATTTTCGAAAATCTTGTTTTTATTACCTAAGTGCGAACCAAAATGTCCAAAAACCTAAATTGCCGTTTTTTAAATTTTGCTACGAAAATTTACATTAAAATTTTAGCGATTTGGTCATGTATGAAAATGGTTTTTATTTTTTTACGCGAAAACGATGCGTCGTACCAAAAAAAGTCAAGAGATCAAATTTGTTTCATATTTAATGTAGATTTTAAAAATATTTTTTATTTAAAAAAAAAACAGTGGCGTACCATTTTTTTCTTCAATAATATTTAGTTTATATACCGTAGGGACGCCACTGATGAAAATAAAAAAAAGTTAATAGCATCAAAAATGTAATTTTATGGTAAAACAACGTGCATCAAATTTAGTGATTTTCGTCCAACAGGGCCCTGAGATATTAAAAAAAAACTCTTTTTAAGGGTGAAATTCAGGGGGCTGTAAATCCGAAAAGGGGGGCCACTCGCCAAAAATATAAAATACGGGTCACCTATTTTTTTTTAAAGAATCTATGACCAAATTTTGTTGCATTAATTTCCGGACACCCTGTATATATTTCTATTATCGGTTTGTTAAATTACCTTTCAACAGTATTTAAAGGAGATTGTCCATCAGAACCACCTATAGCATACAGATAGCCTCCTAAAACTGCAACAGCTACGCCTAGTCTTCTGGTAGTCATTGGCGCCACTTTGGACCATTTGTTTTCTTTTGGATCAAATCTAAATAAAATACAATGTTTAATCTAAATAAATAATATAAAGTCGCGTTAGTTACACCATTTATAACTCAAGAACGGTTGGGCCGATTTCAATATCTGATTTGTTAGATTTGTCTTTGCACCGAATAGCTATTAAAATATTTTAAAAAATCATGATTAAAAGAAATAAAAAATAGTTTTTAAATAAATTATGTTTGGAACTCCGCCATCTTCCGCAATTGACAGCTCACGTCATGCCCGCTTATAGTTTAATTGTAATAATTGATGTCCACTCCAAATTAGTAACATACTAGACATTATAGAATAGAAATTCAAAGGAAAATAGTGGAAAAATAGCATCTTCAAGCTTAGAAAGATATTGAAATATACATATATTGAAAAAAAAATTGAATTGACACACAAACAAAATTATAGAGAACGAATGACAACAACTAACAAATCGATTAGTCTGAATCATTCCAGATCATTCAGGGTGTATTCCGCTGCTTACCTTGGTTATGGTTTTATGTTCCGTTTCTATCGGTTTCCTGAAAGTTTTATTACAACGGAACACGGTTCCTGAAAAATTCGGTTATAACTGTCACATGATTGTCACCAAACTAACCAGCGCGAGCAGGCTGGTTTTTCTGGTTTTGTTTGTCAATCAATGTCATTTATATGAGAGAAATCAAGCAAATATTGGAAGTTCGAGTGAAATTTTCATTTAATTTCTAAAATTTGATATAATATTTTGTTTTTATATCCAAAAGCAATGGAGGTAGGCAGTAAAGGTAAATACATTACATTAACTAAATGGAATGACTTTTTAGGACCATTTAAACTTATCATGCAGCCATTGTTTCTTAAAGTTAGGAACATTTAAAGAAAACATGAAAAACAAGACAAGTAATCGTGAATGTTTTGTAGGCTATAAAATATAAATATTGATAAGATTTGTTTATTTTTTATTGATCTGTTTTAATATTGAACCTGGAAATCTTCACTTGAACTGTCTAACGAGTTTAACAGTTTATTAATAAAGTACTTTTCAATATTAAACGCTATTGAAAAGAAGAAGCAAATGTAAAAGCCGAGAATGGGTACATTAAAAATGCATAAAAGATAAATTTTATAATAAAGGTATAAGGTATTGAAATTTAGAAAACGTCAACATTTGACATTTCCAGTATTTTACCAAACCGTTCCGTATCAAACCAATGTTTTTCAGGAACCGCTCTTTACCGTAGTTTAGGTCTGGTTCGCCTGGTTTTGCAACGGAATACAGCCTCAGTCAATCAGTCATCCATACTACAGGATTGACAGAAAAACTCTCACTTCATTTCACGGTTAGGCGATACAAAGTTAGTCGGGTCAGCTAGTTATTAATAAGACATAATCATAATCATATTCTTTGTTATAAGTACCTTTCGACGTGATTTAAACATTGCACACCATCCTGACCACCAACTGCATATAATAAATTATCTAAAACAGCAACTCCAACGCTTGTTCTACAAGATGTCGTCGGTGCTACGTCACACGACCACTGGTCTGTTTGTGGATCATACCTAAATATTTATGATGATACTCTAATTAATAAGTAATTAAGAAAATAAGAATACATACTATTAACAAATACCGTTGATAGAATAATAATAATTAAATATAATAAATAAATATAATAAATATATACTGTGCTGGCAACTGTTACTTTTGGGTCGGTATTTAAAGTGCAAACCAACTAAGAACATGTCACGACCTTGATAGAAAACGATCGCCTTCTCTCTTGGGTTCTAATCATGGACGCGCCAGTGCAAGAGAGACAAACGATGTCTAAGTGATGACGCTCGTAGCATGTTCTTAGTTGGTTCGTACTCTACATGTGTGTGGAAGTAAATCGCATAGGGATCTTATTATGTCGGAGTGAGAGAAATGCCACGGTGTGCTGTTGCGGCGTTGCCGGTATTCCTTTTCCTATCAAGTAAAGTAAAATCACGATCACAAACTGCTTATTTTTAAAATACTTTTTTACGAAAAGATAACTAGATAAAATTATTAGATATGTTTCTGAGCATCTGAAATGGAATTATAAGGATATCGTTAGGGTGTCCATTTTTTTATAACGAGAAAATGCCAGCAATCGCGATAATTTAAAAACTCAATTTTTTAACACATCACACGCCATAACTTAAGAACCACTTTAGAAACTTTTTTATTTTGAAGATCGGATCTTTTACAATATGTTTAACTAAGAAAAATTCGACAAGGTTGCTCTTTTCCATTCAAAAATTTTAAATAACCCATTCATCTACTTTTAGTGCATAGCAATTTTCAGCAATCGTGTAACATTTTTATTTATAAAGATTTTGACTATCTGCGAAGAAAATACATATAGCAGAAATATTAAGAAAGTTTTTGAAAAAAACTACAATCAACTATTTCTAATAGATTTCGAGATATTGATTTTTGAATTCAGACTTCTAATAGCGCAATCACTGTCGAACACTAACTCATTTCCACTTATTTTTACCAAAATGCAAGTGTTTCTAACTTGCACTTAAAAATTTTTAAGGTACAGAAAAAATTACAATGACTCGTTAATAATTAAACAAATAAAATATCACGAGACGTAATTAAATCGTGAAGCTGAACGTATGATGTTCACCTTTCCCTAGAACTTTAAGTACTGACAGAGGTACTCATTGATTCGCCCGGTCAACTGCGACAAATCTGTTTTATATCCCTTTCCACGTCTCTTAAGGTAAGTGTCCATTTGAAAGTAATTCGTGCGAGTGAATTCGATAGTCACTCCAAAGAGAGTATCCATTTGAGACCGATTTAAAGAATTTTTGCTATCAGCTAGATAACTAAAAACTCTCCAAATGCTTACTCTCACACATATCTGTCAGGAGGGTATCCATTTGAGATTTCTGTTTCATCAACTGCCTTTCTTTGTGTATTAACGTGTTTTGTGTTTTTTTAATCAATTTAGTTATTCCCTCATATAAAACATATATACAACACATAAATAATGTACAGCATATACGTATCATAGAAGATCTGGGTGTCGCCCTTCTTCATCTGTCGCAGCATCAGTGACCTGTTGGTACCAGATCCTGGCCAGATGGTATCGAAGACATTCTTTTCTTAATTATTTCTGTCTTCGATTTCTGGATTTAGTGTATGGTTCTATTTAATATTAACCATTTGATCCTCTTTTTGAATTGTATAAATTTCAATTTTTTTACCTCCTCTGCTAAACTATAGAATGTTTGAATTGTTTTTGTTGTTAGTCTCTGTGTTAATGTCTTATTTTTTACTTTATGGCATCTAATATGTCACTTTCTCCTTGTTTGATAATTGTGAACTTCCTTGTTTGTATTTAATTTAATATTTAGCAAGCTATTAAAAAGTATTAATTGTTTTATATCTAGTTCTTGCACTGTATCAAATATGTGTGTTGGTGTTCTTTTGTGTAATTTATATATTAATTTTAAAATTTTATTTTGTTGACGTTGCAATGCGTTGAAATTCTTTTCGGTCGTATTACTCCATATATTCATTAAATAGTTCATCCTTGAGGTAAACAGTGTGTGATATGAAGGTTTTCTCATGTTATTTGGTATCAATTTTTGAATTTTTATTAAAGCTGCAATTGTGCATATATTTTCATTTTTCAGCTTTACTACATGAGCATCCCATTTCAAATTATTTTGTATTTTTAACCCTAAATAGTTGATTGTTGATGTTTCTCGTAGAATATGGTTTTGTAGTTTTATTTGTAAGTTTAATTTTTGTTTTGTGGTTTTAAATATAATATATTCTGTTTTTAGCTCGTTTATGGTTAGGAGATTATTGTAGCACCATGTTTGCACTTTCTGCAGGTCTTTGTTGATGTTTGTTTCAAGGATGTTCTGATCTGTTCCTGTATATACTAAACATGTATCATCGGCATATCCATATATGACGCCATTTAATGCTAGTTCGCAGAGATCGTTTGTATAAAGGATATACAGGAGAGGTGGTAGATTTCCTCCTCGCGGTATCTCATATGGCGCCATGGTAGTTTTACTTTCAATATTTTCCATGCAAATTTTTTATGGTCGATTTTTTAACCGTTAGTTCTAGTATGTGTTGATTCAGTTTGTATTTTTGTAATTTTTCATTTAATTTGTTTATGTGTAGTGTGAAAGAAACATAGAAGTGCAGATAGTTAATCCCATGGTATCCCACAAAACTGTATTTTCCTCGTATATACTTATCAAAGTATCGTCTTTTGACCAGTCTTTGCGAGTAGCTGCCATTTTAAATTAATAATTCTCTGCTAGAACTATCACAATACGAAACGTAATCGTATTTCAGAAGTAACTATCCGCTATTAAAAATAATATGTATACACTTGAGAGCAAATTGTTGCGAGTAAACTATTAGGCGTTTACGAAAATTATACCTTCGGTATTTACCGTTACCCAGCGGTACACATATGTTTTATGTCAAATATGAATCTGGTAGAATATTTTTAAAACGAACTGGTTAATATCTTAAGATTAAATTTATTATACTAATTAATATAATAATAACAAGATTTTGTGCCACAACCTCTGAGCCTATAAGATGGACGAAAAGATGAATGAAGTAGATTCTTCATCCAATTCTCCAGTTAAATCTCTGCTGATATGTTCTTCAAAATGGTTTTGAATTTCAATCAAATCTCCCTCAAGACCACATACAGAGCATTTCCCCTGCTCAATTTCAAATACATCCATGTCCATGGCGATTTTCAATAATAGTGAATTAATAGGTCTCTGATCTCTGATTTTTTAAACGCGTTTTAAACTCTTATAGGTTCGGTTTTCTCTCAAAACGGTCATTTACCGAGACCTTACCCCGATCCATAATCTATAAACCGAATACATGCACCGGTAAATGTGTGATAAAATTAGAACAAGGAACAAAAATACCGTTATCAATTTCGAATGTAAAAAAGTTACCTGGTACCTACCGGTGCAATTTTCGTAAACGCCTATTGATAGTAAAATGAATATTCTCCGATAGGTATATAGAAATCTCGACCTAAGACTAACCTTTGCCAGCCCTTAGTATACTAACGAAATAAGAAGATGCGTAACTTTATGGGCGATTTTGTGGCAACAAACCTGTCCGAGATGTAGTCCGAGACAGCGCAGTGGATAAAGGATACTGTACCGTAGTTCTGCTTTCAGTTGATAGAGTGAGTGGTTGTCAGAACTACAGATAAATCTGTAGATTTACGGATTTTGGGTACAGTACGTTAATAATATGGATTTTCTATCAATAAACAATTTAGTATAATATTAATATTATATGATTAAACAAAGAACGGCGTCAGAGTTGGCTTGGAAATGAAGATCGCTGTTATTTCATATGTAAAATATTATTGTAGGTGTCAATAATCGTAATTTCCTAGTCAACTAAACGGCTTTTTTTCGATTATACAACATATTCAGTACCTATAAATTTTTTTTTATTTTTGGTGTTTATTCTATGGTTAACACGAATAAATTTTCAATACATAAACGCTGATTTTTCATCCAAAGATTTTCGTCAAACGTATTACAGATGTTACACATTTTAATAGGACAACACTGTCGCTTTCAGTTCCACAGTGTTCGATATGCCTTCGCTGGCCGAATTAGAGAAAATAAGTGTTTTGTGTTGGCTGCAGAAGGATTGGTGTCTCCACCATACAGCACTTGAGACGTAAAGGGAAATCAAATCAGCCTAGTCACGAATTCGCCCATTAGGCTGCGTATCTTCCCAATTCTTTCAATCAACGCTAATACGTTGACTGAATTTTATTTTTCAGAATTAGTAAAATATCACTAATTCACAACAATACATCAAACACTGTATTTTAAACTCTGCAATACAACGTTTTAAATAACGGGTATTGGTGTATTGTAATAAATTCTCTCGTTATATTAAGAGTTAAAAGCAAAATAAAAACACTAAATCACCACAATACACCAAACCACTTTTACTTTTACAATGGACGCGCATTTCGCTAACCATGTTAGCATCATCAGCAGATGATTATAAGGTTTATAATCATCTGCTTATAAAGCTTATAATCATCTGATGATTATAAAGTTTATAATCATCTGCTGATGATGCTAACATGGTTAGCGAAAGGCGCGTCCAGTGTGAAAGTAAGTGTTTTGGTGTATTGTGGTGATTTAGTGTTTTTATTTTGCTGTGTAACACCAAAGGTTCCAACCCTCAACTGTAATATTAAGGGTTACAATCTTAAAAATTTTCCAGAATTAGTAGAAATACTTGTTCAAAAACATTAATTTGTCAGTCATGTAAGTGTAATATAGTTGAGGTTGGAACCTTTTGCATTACAAGCATTATACCACAGTTTAAAGAATATAAATATATCAGTTGACCCACTCTTCGCCTGTATCAAAATTCCTCCCGCCGCTCCCCGCCTGTCTTGTAGGCTTGGGTCAGTCTACATCCGTTGCTCGACGTGTACACAGCGTTCCAAGTTTATTTTAGTTTTGTTTTCGGTCCGACGCATAGGGTGAACCAAAAATAGTGTTTTATTTGTTTTGTTCGAATTGTGAATAAAATGTCTACTAGAAATATTTGTGCAGTGGATGGTTGTGAAAGTAGAATGACAGACAATATATCGTTCTTTAGGTGCCCAAAAGATGAAGGAAGGTATGTATTTATATAGTATAGGATATTAAGTATATAATAATTAAAGTATTAGACATATTAAGTATATTATAATTATGGAAACCTAACTATGAATAAATTGTTTTAAAAATATACATATAAATTAAGAAAATATTTTACTCGAAATATGCACAAAATATTTACTTTTAACAATTAGTTTCATATTTTAGTAGATATTTTAGAGTAGTAGTAGATACTTTACTATTATGTTTTGGATTTTGCAGTATTTACCGGTTTGCAAAGTGCTATTGACAAGTTTTTTAGAGTTTTTACTAAATTTTATGTAACAATAAATATAACAATTGACGAGCACATGGGAAAAACGATGAGTATCCAGAAATGGGGATAAATGTTCAGGAAACCGATTTTTTTAATTCAAATTACGCATGGACTTTTATATCCGAGTTTATATCGTTTTTCCCATTTTTAAATTACTGTTTCTATGTGGCCGTTATCGATATTCCCGTTTATTTAGGTACCAAAAGGTGTAGCCCCCCTTTTTGGTACTTTCATTATTTTTCCCGTGTGCTCTTCAATTAGTAGTAAGTACTGTAATAAATTATATTTGCATATTTCTTAAGTTATGTTTTGGTTTGGTTTGGTTATGTTTTGCTTTTTAGTATATTGTATGTAGTGCTTTCTATATATTTCTTAAATTATGTTTTGCTTTTTAGCTGTTTGCATTTAACTTGAATTATCTACCTTTTTATCAAAAGGTAATAAAAAGTACTTGAATACAACTTGTCTTGCCATTGTCAATTTTTTTTTCAGTTTTTACTAAATTTTATCGAACAGTAAAATTTATTACACAATTAACTACTAACAGTCATAATTACTGTTCATGATAATCAAAAAATTTAGAAAAAATTCCAAAAAAATTGACAATGGCAACACAAGTTGTATGCAAAGGTAGGTACTTTTATTACCTTACGATAAAATTTGGGCTTTCCGGGTAGGTAATTAAAGTAAAATGCAAACATCTATAATTGCAGAACATGTAATATAAAAGTAAAACATACAAAACATATAAAAGCAAAACATGCTATAATTTAAGAAATATGCAAATTATTATTATTATATATATATTAAAAAAAATTAACTTATTATATTTATTTAGTATACATTTTTCATATGGGGTTTCCATAATAATTATTAATAATAATTACCCTATTGACAATTCCGTATTCCAAAGAATTAGGATAGAATAATATATCTAATATTTTAATATTAATGTATTCACCATAATATGTATAAGTAGAGTCTGATAAGGAAAATAACTTGTAGGTGTGGAGCCTGGAAAAGTGCCTTAGGATTTATAGGATCCCACAGATATGCTGTTAATCAATAAAACTAGTACTGTATTTTTATTTTTCTACTTGCTATATTAAAATTCCTTAGTATTTTTAGTTGATCCCTCGTATACGGCCAGCGTTCTGACTGATAAAATAGCACTTCTGCTGCACCCGGTAAACGTACAAATTTTTCGTCACCTCAAAGGGTCATGGGCCGCCTTTGAAGTCAAAATAACAATAGAATTCCTTAAAGTGGGCCAACTGGTAAGTATTCTTTAAACTGTGATTATACTTTGGCATTATAATTACAAAGTACTAGTTCACCACAAAACACTAACAGTTTTAATCATTTGCTGATGATGCTCACATGGTTAGCGAAACGCGCGTCCAGTGTTCAAAACAAAGTGTATTGTGATATGAAATAGTATTTTATTTTCCAAGTAAGTATAGTGGAAAATACTCCTTTTAACAAACCTCTCTATACTATTTAAATAACTCTGTCCATCATGTCCTCCAACAGCATACAACAAATCATTTAACACTGCCACACCAACTCCACACCTTCTTTTACTCATTGGTGCTACCATCTTCCATTCCATTGTTTGAGGATCAAACTTTTCTACTGAAGCTATGGCATCTCCACTACACCAACCACCAACAGCAAACAACACTTCACCTAAAATATAAATAAAATTAATAGTAATTATTAATTTTATTATTAAGCAGAACTATAAAGACATATTTACATATCATTAAGCAGAACTATAAATTACAAACTCTAACAAAACATCAGTTATAAAAATGATATTTTTTTTGTAAAACTGTATTTACCTAATAATTATAAAAAAACAAAATGAAATAAAGGTTCTTTTAGTACGCTGATATTAGCATATTTAGAAAAAAATATATAAAGTTTTGATATGTTGAGGTTATAGATACTAAAAGGAGACTTTTTAAAATCAAAAGAGTTCCTAACTGTAAAGTGTGAGCTTCACCCCCAAAAACCACCCCGTCATTTTAACGTGTTAAATATACACGCAACAGATATAATACTGTATAATATAAACAAAAACATTGCCTATTCCACTAAACTAACATTCATACTTTCATCTACATATTGTCATCGTCTATAGTTTCTAGAATGTGCTCAGTGTTCGAACAACTTTGCCCACGACAGGTTCCGCACATAGTTGTACATTTCATGCCGGCTTTAATGCAACTGCATCTTTTTACACAATCTTGTTTGCTGATGTTCAAATTATTCGTACTGCCATCCAAATATCTCAGAAAAATGAACAAGTTCTAGTCGTTGGACAAGATGTCGATCTTGTTGTTTTATTAGCAGCACTTTCCCCCGATGAAAAAGACATTCTTTTTCTGAAAAAAGCCATAGGTAATGTAAAACAACGAATGTATAGTTCGAGAGACTTGCAATCAACCAGTATTATACGTAATTTAAAAAAATCAATTTTATTTATTCACGCTATTAGCGGGGGTGACACAACATCAGGATTTTTTGGAAAAGGAAAACAACACGTACAAATATTTAATAAAGAAAAAGACCTTGATAGTATCGTCGATATTTTTAACAACGCAAAGTCAACACCTGAAGAAATTGAAAAAGCTGGAGAGACGTTTATACTGAAATTATACAAACTTCAATCATCTGAAGGGAGCCTTAGTGAGCAAAGATACGCTTGTTGAAACTAAGATACGTTTGTTAACTAACTTATTGAAAGTTAGTTGGTCAAGCAAACAGCACGGTACTTTTGATCAAAATTGCCTCCCACATCTACTGCAGTTAGGCAACATTCCCGGAGAACATATCTTCAAGTACAAATATGGCAAGAACAACCTATAAAACCCGACCAGTGGGGCTGAAAGAAAATCAACAACACCCTGTCACCTTTATATATATATACAACAGAATCGCCCGCCCCTGCTTCAATTATGTCATTAATAACGTGCAACTGCAAACAAGATTGTGTAAAAAGATGCAGTTGCATTAAAGCCGGCATGAAATGTACAACTATGTGCGGAACCAGTCGTGGACAAAGTTGTTCGAATACTGAGCACATTCTAGAAACTATAGACGATGACAATATGTAGATGAAAGTATGAATGTTAGCTTAGTGGAATAGGCAATGTTTTTGTTTATATTATACAGTATTATATCTGTTGCGTGTATATTTAGCACATTAAAATATTTTGGGAGACTAATTTGAAAGGCGACCTGTATTTTTTTTGTACTCCATTTTTCAAACGGTTATTGCTCGAAATGCATTGGATAAATATAAATAATGAATAGAACCTTTTTTGTAGCAAATTTTATAAGGAATACTTTTGGTAAGTATAACATTTTTTGTGGGACCAACGTGTTCTGAGAAAAAAAGCGAAAAACCATCGAAGGGCGTATTGGGGGTGTTTTTTTGAGGTGAAGCTCACACTTTAGAGTTAATAACTCTTTTGATTTTGAAAAGTCTCCTTTTGGTGCGTCTGATCTCAACATATCAAAACTTTATAAATTTGTTCTTCTATTCGGCTATTTTAGGTCTAATATAAATATACTATTTGTAAATTTACACACAATCTGTAATTTCTACAGTTAATATTGGTATTAGTAAATCAAAAATCAGCAGGGAAAAAATTGGTATTTTGAATAATCTCTCAATTTTGGAAAATTAAAATATTTTTTTTCAATTTGTGATTAATTTTCAGATATTAAAAATAGTGATATGTTACACACATCTAAGTATTAACAAAATAAAGTCTATCTACTGAGCCAGGGAATATTTTGACAGACAATATCCATAAAATCAATTTTTGTATATCACAGAACGTCTCTCAATTTTCCAGTCACGTATACTTCAATATTTCGGTCACGTTATGAGGAGAGATACTGATTGTATGGAAAGACTCATTATACAGGGCAAGGTTCCAGAAAAAAGACCAAGAGGCCGCTCGCCTCCCGATAGATAGACCAGCTATCCAAGCTCACCCACAAGCCACTGCACATGCTGGTAGATGAAGCACAAGACAGAGAATTAGGAGACAGCAAAAAATAATCAGTTAACCACTACCACTACCCACTACATTTCTCTTGTAGACAGAGAGTGAGAGAGACAGACAGAGAGAGAGAGAGAGAGAGAGAGAGAGAGAGAGAGAGAGAGAGAGAGAAATTCATAAAATAACAGAAAGTAGATTATATCTGCAAATTAAAATTACAGACAAAAAAGGGAGGGTAGAGATTAGGAGAAACATCTCTTATGGGACTTTATTTGAAAAAGTAGTCACTAAAATGGAAAAAATAAGGGTTCATTATTAAATGACCACAGTGGCGCTAACAAGTAATAAGCGATCGAACAGTTATAAATAAAGTCTAGTTAGTCAAAAAGAGAGGTAATACGCGCCTTCAGAAATCGCATAATTATCTATCTCTTTTTAATGATTTCCTGTTCTAAAAATGTTTGGCGCTTCTTCCGAATGTAGAAGCTTTGTTACAACAGCGCCATCTGAAGTGTTACGAGTTGATGTTATTGAGTTCAACCTCAGAAACACGCATATGAGATTTTTTTCGCGAAAAAATTTACAAAAAATTTCGAAATTTTCAAAATTTTTTCGCGAAAAAAATCTCATATGCGTGTTTCTGAGGTTGAACTATACTATAATAAACGCCACGAATGTTTGGGAGCGATTCATCGCTTGATGAAGTTATAATCGACGCGCGCTATCATTTTTACATTAAAAACGTAATTTTTTACCGCAGACGTAGGGTTTTAAAGGCCCAGTCTAATCATCTGCCTGCGCTCCTCCTACTTATTCTAAAATGTTAGCGTGATTGACAAAGACGATACTATATCGCGTTTCTTTGATTGATTCGTTTTTGTGCGTCAGTCCATTGGTGTGCTTGCAGTGGGCCCAATTCCATTTTATATTTATAACCAAATATATGTTTTGACAAGACTTTGACAGTTAAAACAACAAATTACAACAGATTATATATTGATTATTATATGACTTGAAACACCACGGCACTGGAATTAAGTTTTATGTGACCTTGAACAGATTAGTTCATATGGTAGCGACCGATGAATCACTCCCAAACATTCGTGGCGTTTACTACCAGTTGAAATACTTGCACTTATTTCTGGGACACCCTGTATATACTAGATATAATTGTTATTCAAATTAAACAGAGTAGCCTATTAGTGCGAGGAAGTCCAATATCGTCATTTTTGTCAAAGATATGAAGTGTTTTATACATATGTTGCATGGTTTATAATGGTTTTATACAGATGTTGCATGGTTTTTAATGGTTTTATACAGTTTGTGCACTATTTTTTGTATACAGGGTGGTGCGAACTGTATTCCGGAAACTTCGGCAGCATATTCTGCAGATAAAAATAAGTAAAAAAGTTCGTATAAATGTATGTCCTAAAATGCTTAGTTTCGAAGATACAGGGTGTAGAAGTTTCATTTTTACTTCGATTTTTTCCAAATAATTTCTGAAGTAACGTCATTATTTCGATGAAAATTGGTGTCTGGAAGTTTTGTGACACGAGAAATTTGATTTTGATGTCAAAATTACTCCTATTTGTAGGGGGCGCCACCTACATGTGTTTTAACTGTTTTGAAGAGTAATAACTTTTCGTCCGTACTGGTATAAAACTACTGACTGAAAAAATATACATTTCCATGACTTTCTACGTAAAAAATGTCCCTTGGTAAAAATCACTACGAGCAACCGATCTCAAGATATTTAGAATGGAAATAGTCAATACATGTCATTATTGACAAAAATAAGTACACGTTGAGTATAGCTATTTGACTGAAATAATAAATTTTTATTTTTTTAAATTAATCATAAATTTTTCTGCGAAAAAATGATGATTAAACAGTTTCTGTTGAACTTTTGGCACAAAAAGATTTCAAATTTAAGATTTCAGTCTAATAACTATTTGGTCAACATGTTTAATTTGTCAATGATGATAGGTATTGATAATTTCAATTTCATATATCTCGAGAACCGTTACTCCTAGCGATTTTTACCAAGAGACCTTTTTTATGTAAAAAAAAAATGTAAATGTATATTTTTTTACTCAGTAGTTTTATACAGGTTTGGATGAAAAGTTATTACTCTTCAAACCAGTTAAAGAATATGTAGGTAGCGCGCTCTACAAGTAGGAGTCATATTGACATGAAAATCAAATTTCTCATGTCCAAAAACTCCCAGACACCAATTTTCATCCAAATATTGACGTTACTTCTTAAATTATTTGGAAAAAATCGAAATAAAAATGAAATTTCTACACCCTGTATCTCCGAAACTAAGCATTTTAGGACATACATTTATACGAACTTTTTTACTTATTTTAATCTGCAGAATATGCTGCCGAAGTTTCCGGAATACAGTTCGGATCACCCTGTATAGGATATCACAAAAAAATATAATAAACTTTTTTTTTAATTGCACCCTCCATTTTTCTGTGGATAAATAGATTCTGCAATATAGTTTTATTTCCAGCACTATGCAGTGTTGCCATTCTATTTCTTATTTACTAAAACTTACAAAAACTTTGCAGATATTCGCTATATTACAGGGTTTTCAATACTAAAATACTAGACACTAGATCATTAGATGGCTTTGATAAGTAATTGAAAGAGTATATGTAATATAATATGTAATATAATACCGTGAATATGTGTAAAACTGTCAAAAATTTAGGAACACTTTAAATACAAAAAATGTTTGTTTTTTAATTCTGCATCATTACCCTGTACAAAACAATGTAAATTTTTCTTTACAAGTGTATTCTCGTCATCCTTGGTGTTTAGGAAAATATAATAAAGTTATATTCACTCTAATTTATAACCGCTTTTCAGATATACCTAGTATTTTTCACCAAAGTTTCAGTAAATATGAAATAGAATGGCAACACCGCATAGTGTAGAAAATAAAAATATAGTACTATATGCAGAATTTTATGCTGAATCAAATTATCTACAGAAAAATGGGAGATGCCTAAAACTATCATAACTTTTTTGTGACACCCTGTATAAAAAATATTTTGGTGTTGCATGGTTTATAAAGGATATGACTCTTTATAAACCATGCCCAACATATCACCAGTCATTCAAAGTTACAAAAAATATAACCATAAGCATTGCTTACCTCTCCTTGTTGGTTTCCTTGGTCTAGTTCTAGGCCCTTGCATTAAAGGCCTCTCTTGAGGCAAAAGCAAATAGTTTTTTGCTTCGTCTACTAAATCTCTGCAAGATTCATCCGATCTAACCAACAGATCTGACCCCACGGTTCCAACAAGAAACTTAGGGCTGAGTAAGGGCAATCTAACATGCTGCAAAACTGAGGGAAGATGCTGTCTCCTTTCTGCTACATTGTACTTTACCCATGACATTACTGCATTAAATACTTGTTCTTCAGTTCTCACATTTAATTCATCACTTGCAATTATGTCCACCAACTGCCCTACAGGCAATAACATGAACTCTTCCGATTCCATCACTTCTTGGAAATTGTGCTGAGTAAATTTATCTGCTATTCTCAACAACTCTCTGCATGAATGAGTGTCTGCAAAAGCTCTTATGCCCAGACAATTAGATGGGTCCAGTTGTCTTTTAAGGAACTCGCAACAAATATCTTGAATTTCTGTAAGTTGTAGTAAGCAAGCTGCGGGTAGCAACATTTGGACATTAGATTCTTCAACAACAATATGAGAAGTATAACAAAAGTCTAAAAACATTTATAATTAAAATTTTCAAGGGACAATTTTTTTTACTAAACTTACCTATAAGCAAATCCATAGCCAATTCATCTATATCTCTAATTGTTACTTCAGTCTGTCTAGATTCGGCTAACTCTCCAGTAAACATTGCTCGAAAATAAGGGCTGCATGCACTTAGTATTACTCTGTGAGCGAATATTTTTCTTCCTCCAACATTCAGTACAACATCACATAACTCTCTATGCCTACGAAGCAAATTCAATTCCGTCAATGTGTTCTTTGGGTGCTTGTCAGATGTATGAGTAAGTCGAGCAGGAGATGGTGGTCGATCGCCTCCTGTTGTCTCACCCATTCTGCAAGGCCCCCGCGAATGGGAGGCGAATTGAAGGCGTAAGGGCGGTGACGCCCAACCCCACACCGAATCTATCTGTTAAAAATAATGTTTTTATTGGTATTTCCTAAAATTCACTAGATCAGTAGACATTAAACAAAACCGCAAAACAAATAAAACTGGGCACCAATTATTCTGAACATTATCCAAGGTATACAAACCTAGGCTAGAAGTAGTACTTGCAAAACTGTAAATATCTAATGTATGAACCGTACTGAATATTAACAGAACATTATGTAAATAGAAATTGGGCAATTTATAAGATATGGGGCTTACCTTTAGATCGTGTATAAACTCTGGTGAAAAAATGATGACAAAGTTTTAATAACGGCTCACTGATGAAAAAGTTGAGAAATCCTAATAAGAATACTAGAAAATGTTCTTGCACAGCAATACAATAAAATATTAATTTTCTATATTCACAGCACAGTCTATCCTAAATATTGTTATTTTGACGTTGCAGATGTCAATGAGATGTCATGTGTCATGTCACAAAAGTAGGGATGTGCAATGTTTATCGATGTTACAAAACATCGATGTTCGATGTCAGAAGATATTAGAAGAACAATTATTCTAAACTAAGCTAAGAATATAAAATGAAACGGTACCTAAACGAAAATAAGTTTCATCGGCCACTGGGAACGATTTTCGCTCAGTAGTCAGCTAAGTTAGTTGCGTTTTCGTATTGTGTCTCTGCTATCATAGAATTAATTAAGGAATTAATCGCTGCGAAAAATTCGCTGGAACCTGTCACGAACTAAAACGAGCGAAACATAACTACTATTTGAATCTTCGTTCATATACTTTCGTTTAGTTTCGCTCAAGTGACCGCTGATGCATTTAAAAGTATGGGTGCTGACTTTTACAAATTTTATCATCGCTTGGCTTAGTTTGGTTTCTTCGGCTTAGTAGCCGCCCGCCTTAAGACGGGCGGCCACTGCGAGCGAAACTAAACTAAGCGAAGATAAGATTTGTAAAAAAATACTTTTTAATGCGTCAGCGGCTACTTGACCGAAACAAACGAAACTATATAAACGAAGATTCGAATCGTAGTTTAGTTTCGCTTGTTTTAGTTCATGACAGGTTCCAGCGAATTTTTCGCAGCGATTAGTTCTATGATAGCAGAGATACAATACGAAAACTTAGCTGACTACTGAGCGAAAATCGTTCCTAGTGGAGTTCCCATTTAATTACCGTTTGTTTTCATATTCTTAGCTTAGTTTAGTTACGCTCGCAGTGGCCGCCTGCCTTAAAGGCGGTAACTAAACTAAGCTAAGAATATAGAAAGAAACGGTAACTTAACGAAAATAAGTTTTATCGGCCAACGGGAACGATTTTCGCTTAGTAGTCAGCTAAGTTAGCTGCGTTTTCGTATTGTGTCTTGGCTATCATAGAATTATTAATCGCTGCGAAAAATTCACTGGAACCTGTCACGAACTAAAACGAGCGAAACTAAGCTACGATTTGAATCTTCGTTCACGTATTTTCGTTTAGTTTCGCTCAAGTGGCCGCTGATTCATTTAAAAGTATGGGAGCTGATTTTTAAAAATCTTATCTTCGCTTGGCTTAGTTTAGTTTGGCTCGCAGTGGCCGCCCGCCTTGGCGCTTTTAAAAATCAGCTCCCATACTTTTAAATGGATCAGCGGCCACTTGAGCGAAACTAAACGAAAATATGTGAACGAAAGTTCAAATCGTAGCTTAGTTTCGCTCGATTTAGTTCGTGACAGGTTCCAGCGAATTTTTCGCAGCGATTAATTCTGTGATAGCCGAGACACAATACGAAAACGCAGCTAACTTAGCTGACTACTAAGCGAAACTCGTTCCCAGTGGCCGATAAAACTTATTTTCCTTTAGTTACCGTTTCTTTCTATATTCTTAGCTTAGTTTAGTTTCGTTCGCAGTGGCCGCCTGCTTTCCATAGAAGCGACAAAACGAATCCCGCCTAAAAATTTGGAGTGGGAGGTAAACCGGCTGTCATCTCAACGTGTTTTCGGAATACGACCAGTGTTGCCATTGTTAATGTTATATTATAGTTATATTGTTTTACTATGAGGGTGCAGCCACACTATCCTAAAAACGGCGTATCGGCGTAACGGCGTAATGACCTTGAATAGATTTCCAGTAATTCTATTGGCTGAAACATTCATCTGTCAGAAATTTTATCTGTCAAATTCATCTGTCAAAAATTTCAGCCAATAGAATTACTGGAAATCGATTCAAGGTCATTACGCCGTTACGCCGATACGCCGTTTTTAGGATAGTGTGGCTGCACCCTGACTGAAAATGACACTTTTTGTGGCAAGGCTGTACGTTCGTCATACAGCCGAGACACAAAAAGTAATTTTTACTCCCAATAGAACATGCTATTTTTTTTTCAAACGCCACAAATAATTTTTTTTAACAATTTCAAACGTTCCAAATAATATAAAAATATTTGAAAGTCATACTTTGTAAGTAATTATACATACGCCTAATCATAAAAATACGAAAATATACCAGAATATACTATTAAACTGACATAAAGTGTCAAATTCAACGAGCGTAACCATAGTTTCTCGATATATAATTACCATATTAGGCGTAAAAGTGCTCTCTTTTATGCCTAGACGTTAAAATGACTTTTTTATATTCTCAACCACGTCGCAAAAATTAATACTTTTTTTGAAAAAAAATTCTCGATTTTTGAACTAGGTATACTATTTACAAATCATTTTTAATCAATATAAAAATAAATGACGACTTTCTTAAGGACAACTGGCAGTGGGCGCCATTTAAAAATAAAGAAGCGTACGGGCCAATGTTAGTCATTGCTACGGGCTATGTAAACGACGTCTAGCGTTTGACCCTGCCAAAATTATCATTCTCCAACCGTCTTAGACGCAGTTTTTTTTTCGATCGTATTGCAGATTTACTAGCCTTAAACCCATTAAATGATAATGCAAAATTTAATAATCAAATACAATAATTTTAAAGCAAATTGTCCAGTGACATTAGCTGCATGAATTTATTTTAATTTTTATATTTTTGAAAATTAAATTAATACCCGGTATTCTAATGGAATAATTAAATGACGCGTTTATTATACTTGGCTCTAAGGCGAGAAAAATGTGTATATATTTACTTGACATCATTTCTAAAAATATGCTTTAAAGCAAGTACATTTAGAAACACACATTTGTTGTTAAATTTAGCTTAATTTTTAATACCACATAAGACGAGACAAATTTAGGCGGGAAAGGAAAAATTAAAAACAATTTACGAAAAATTCAGCATATTATTTAATAAATAATACAAATTTTTATACTAACATACTAAGCTACACTATTTTATAGAAAAACATAAATTATGTTAATAATAATAAAAATATAAATTAAGTAGTATCAGTCCTTACAAAGAATATGACACTTATTTTGGTCCTTCATTGAGATATTAGTTATTATATTTTTACTAAATATGGTTTAACTCTTGATAATCACATATTTTTATATAAAAAAAAATATTTAAATAAGCACATTAAATATGTATATATTTTTAATCATATTATTTCACAAATTATTAGTTTAAGACAACAGAATTATTTCTATTCCTGCAATATTGAGCATGAAAAAAAAACATGAAATTATTATAATATTATGCCGGGTCCAGACCAAGCAGAGAAAACAACGACAAGACAGAAACATTCATGTTTTGCGACAAATCCAATACATTTCTGCGACATTTTTGTGTCATTTTTGTTTTGTTTCAAAATTCGGAGAATTCAATGTCCCGTCTCGAGTCGGTAAAGATCAAAGTGTCTATGTTTTGTTCGTATATTTTACGACAAGCTGTCGGCGCAGTGTGGACGGCGTGTGCTGCCAACAGTAGGAAACCAGTGAAATTACACATTAATTTCTAGATTACAAATTATTTCTTAATAAAAGTTAATAGTCCAGTCATCTTAGGGGTTTCACCTCGGAATTCGAGATAACCGGCTGTAAACTCGTATAAACCTTTATTTTAACATCTTAAAACATATCTCAAAACCTACATATGATAGCGTGTGCGCGACTTAGATAAGTGAGGTCAAAGGTCAAAAGGTGAAAGGTCAAAGGTCAAAATGTCAAAGGATTTTTTGCGCATTTTTTGCAAATATCTCGTTCCCTTTCACATTTACGCTATTTGTACTTATCATAAATATTGTAGAGGATAAAATTCCCTATAACTTTTGTTTCAAAAATTTTTTTGTACCTCAAACCGTTTTTGAGATAGAGGGCGGTGAGCGCGCAGTCTTTCATAATGTACGGTCATTCAAGTTCAACCTGTAGTCTCGGTCAAAAACACGCCGTATAAAGTCCGTTAATTATTGAAGCATATATAATTATAAATAATTTACATTTTTTCATAAAAGATCATATTGAATATAATAATTTGTTTCATAAATTAAGTATATCTTCATTTAATAACACTTACTTCTAATTAGAAAATTATTAACGTACTCTATGTCATCGGGCGTACTCTATCTCATCGAGAAGAAATTTTCTTAAAAAAAGTTGGAAAAGGAAATGTAAAAACTGAAATATACTCTTCCAAAAGTTTTGATAAATATCCTCGTTTGAAAAAACACATGTTGTTTCTGCACGCAGTGAATGGCTGTGACACGACTTCTGCGCTCTTCAAAAAAAGAAAAAAAAAACTTTTGTAAGAACACTTGAAAAACTTCCGGATTTGGATCAACTTGCTGCAGCATTTCAAGACGAAAACTGTCCGTTTCAAAGGTTATTTGAGAATGGAGTGCGAACTTTGTTAGCAATCTATAATGCTCCAAAATCTAAGAACAGCATTGATCATCTTCGTTATACACAATTCATCAAATCAACCAAACTGAATAAACCTGTGCAATTATCAAATCTTCCACCAACAAGCGCAGTAACATTTCAATCGTGTTTACTACCAAGTTCAGACTTGATTAGGACATGATTTAGAACCCCAGGACTGGGGTTGGATAATGCGTAATGGATTCCTGGAACCTACCACTACTATTCTACCTCCAGCTCCAGAAAATTTGCAGAACACAATATTCTGCAACTGCAAGAATGGTTGTGGTTCGCGATGTGGATGCAGGAAATCAGGGTTGCCGTGCTCTTTAGCTTGTGGCCAGTGTAATGGGCAAGCTTGTCTCAATGCTTCACTCTATCAGAGTGATGTCAATGAAGATGGTACATTTGACCCCGAAATCCTAGAAGACTTGGAGACAAATGTCGCTGAAGATGAAAATAAAGAAGAATTTGAAATTCCACAACGACCAGACGGCGATAATTAAGAAGAAGAAGAAAACTAAAAATAAGAACATGGAGTTCTTTATATTTTTATTCAATTTTTTTAATTTCAACCATGAGAAATGTATGAAATCGTATTTTTTAATAGACATATAAATTAAAAATGTATTTCTTGTCTTTTTATTTACTTAAAAT